TATTTTAGATTTTCTCTTTTACATGCAAAATATCATTCTTCTGAAAGGTGCTTCACACCATAAATATGCTCATCGATTTAAACTAGTCTTTTACATAGTAGATGTTCGGACTTTATCTCAGGGTCAGTAAATCAGTCATACATCCCCGCATCCAAGAAGGGAGCGTGTCCCAAGCTGTCCACCTACCTGACATCTCTAGTTGCTACTGACCTTCCAGAGTAAACTAACTCTAGCTAGCCCAGGAACTCCTGGTGTTTCTTTGAGCTGCCTGGAGGTAGTAGCATAGAAAATGCATGGTACTTAGGACAGAAGCAGCTCAGGGCTGCTCGTCACTATGCACTGACATGCTTTCCAAGGAGAGCATCTGACCAGAGGATAAGCATCTTCCGGTTCTGAGCAGCCCAGGAAGGCAACAGGCCTTACCCACTCATCTCAGTAAAGTCATGCTGCCTCAGTTAATATTATCCATCCAACTAGAAACGGGCCCTGGTGGCCATCGAGAAGCCAAGACCCAAGCACTACCAAATCCTCCTGTTGATCTGGCATCTACGCGTTTGCCACCAACACACATCTGCCAAGTCAGCAATAGGAGAGTTGCCCAACAACATGCCAAGTTTGGAGTGCAGATATGAGAACCAGAGCATGAGGGTGCCCTTCTTCTTAGGAAGGAATGTTCAGAAGGCATCCTCACAGCCAGGTCTAAATCTATCCAAATTAGGTCAGGCTCTAGAAACAGACATCTTGCTTGTAGAGATGAAATTCCAATAAGCAGCTGAGCCATGCCCCTAGGCCCCCTGCTGTTCTGCCATCAGGGCAGAACCCAACAAGCATCCCACCCAGCTCGGAATATCTGAATATCAGTAGTGCACACAGACTTGGTGTTTATTCCATAGAGAAAGAAGTTTTTCTTTCAAACGATGGCTTTTTAACCGAAGAAGTCACCTATGAGGAAAACTGAACTTCTTGGGGGAAAAAAAAAAAAAATCAGGCTGTGCTGGGGCAATTTTAACTTCGGCCCATGTTAAGCCAACAAGCCAATTTGCTTTGTGTAGACACATAGCTGCAGCGTGAAGTTGGATGAGTAGAAGCGCGTGGACCAGACAGCAAGCTGCTGTGATGGAGTAGAGCTGGTAAAAATGAAAACACTGAAGATTGAAATACATGGAGACTAAGTGTTTAGAGCAACAACGAATAAGGGAAGGGACGGGGGTGGTCTGTCTCATTATTTACTTTGTAGTTCATAATATAAACTCAACTTCTTCTCAGATTCCCTCCATCAGAGAAGAGCACAGAGTTCCCCCTTTGGAAAGACATGTTCCTGCTCCAAGTAATTGGTTTGAGCTTGGCTTTTTTTTTTTTTTCTTTTTTAACCAGACAGCTTAATTTCAGGAAATAATTTATTTGTCTCTCTTACCAAAGTTCAGAAATTTGATATAATTTGAGCTATATTTGGCATTCAATAAAATATACTAATAATGTTCCCTTCCACCAGAATAGTCTTTGTCTATTTTCGTTAATTGAATTTTTCACTACTTTTTTTCCCTTCACACATGCATTTCTGCATTGCTAGAGACTGGTATTCCAAGTACAGTTGCTATTTATGATATCACTATTTCCTTATTAGTGGCTTCTTTGGGGTCATTTAAAATAACTTTGCGTTTTGGTCTCATGTCAAATATTTCATCTCTTTAAGTTGATTTTGTCTCAGATCAGTATCACTGCTAAAACTTTGGGAAGTATTTCCAGCAGGGGCTCAGATTGCATGTCCTAGAATGCAATCCTTGCCTATTAAGATATATTAATTTCTAGAGCTCTGCTTTCTGATACAGTAGATAGCTACAGATATTTTTATGTTATTTAAAATTAAGTGAAAAGTGCATTTCCTCATTAAGTAGCCATATTTCAAGTACTGAATAGCCACATGTGGCTAAAACATTTCCATCATTGCAGAAAATCCTGCTGGATAGGTGTTGCGTGGATAAGGTCTTTGGATTCCTCTTTGGGACCTTTGAGAGCTGGGACATCAGAAACCCCAATGTTTGGAGGTACATGAATCCCCTCCTATGATCCAGCAAATATTCAGCAATTCTTTACAATGTTTTAGGAAGTGTCTACACAAATTCAAAAGAGCTAAAATAATTTTTAAAAATACTTTGGATTGATTATGAGACAAAGCCTCTATGATTTCATTTTCCTTCCTTTGAACTGTTTATCTTTGTGTAGACACCAAAACAACAATAATGACAAAATGCAACAAAATTTTTTCAAGGGAAAGGCACCCAATGAATTCCAAATGGAGTGATTATTATGACTGATACAGGTAATAAGATACTTGGATTTCTGAATTAGTAGGATAAGGCCTCTACCTGGGCAGCCTTCTTTGAGCTCAGGTTACTCCTGACTTTGTAGACAACACTGCAAGAAATAATACATTGTACAGCGCATTTAATTACAGCATCTGCCATGAAACATTGTTAGAGTCTTTATAGGCAAGCTGCATTACCAATCAAGGAAGGCCAAAGCATAATTGCTTTGTTGGAATTATGACATGCCGCTCATGTTCTGAGAGACAGCAGCAAAGAGAAGCAAGCGTGGGTTTGGGAGTCAGACCTGGGTTTCCATCCAGCGTCTGCTGCTCACTAGATGTGTGACTTTGTTAACTTCAAGTAATTCTTGCTAAGCGTAGGTTTCTTCAGTAAAATGAGAATAATAACCCCATTCTACAGAGCTATTATTGTGAGGAGTAAGAGAAATAGTCTACACACACCTTTTCTGCATAATGCCCATTGCAAAGAGTAGTTAATATTATTATTATTATTATTATTAGCAGTAGTAGTAGTAGTACTAGTAGTAGTACTAGTAGTAGTAGTGTTATATTAGCATTTTCATACCACCATCATACCCCAAACAACCTCAAGAAAGATATAACCTAATCATTAAAAGTTAAGAGTAGAAATGTTATTTTGAGCTAATGATTTTTGAGTAGTATAGTACTGAATTAATTGTCCATGTTAAAAACTTCTAATTTTGTCATTTTTTCAATACATATAGACTTTTGATCATATTCTCTGCTTATTGATTTTGGGCATATCTATTTAAGAGTGAGTGTGTGTGTGTACAGATATAAATGAAAACTGTTATTGGAGTGTCTGCAGGATAAGGGTTTTGTAAAATGCAAATCTGACAAGAGCTTCTAGTATAAAACTCTACAGAAGTAAAAATATGCAGGTATATTTATCAATACAGGTATACATATAAATAGATACACAAGTATGTTCTTAGAAATATTTCCTTTTGTGAATCTATTTCATCTACTTCCTGGTGTGCAGTATGCCTTGAACTGCACCACCATATCTACGTCACCAAACATGCTGCCATCTACTTTCAGGCAAAGTTTTTTGCTTCTCAATATTGGAAGGAAATTAATGCTTAGTTGATCTACTAGTTTCTCCATGCATTTTTTTATGACACTTGATGACATAGACATTACCTCCATATTATACTTGGAAATGCGGAGCTTTAGAAAAGCTCAGTGATTTTCAAAGTCACACAGCTGGTAATGGAGTGGCTTGGATTTGAACCCAGGTCTGTCTGAACCTGAAGCCTCTTCCTACATCACAATGAATACCACGGCAATCTGCCACCCACTTCTCCTCCTCGCAATTGAGCATTTGCTCTGAAATCACAAGGATATCCATTCTGGTTCCCCCTTATCTTGGGGTGATCATTCTCCTTCCTTTCCTCTTGTCCCAGAATCTCTTCTATTGAAAAGGAAAAGTGAAGCCTACCATGTTGTTAATGAGCCTTTGATACCTTGTCTCTGTATTTTCAAAGTGCTTCACAGTATTCACTCAACCAACTATTTAGAAATGGAGGTGGGCCAAGATCACAGATCTCTGCACAGTGTTTGTCAGGATCAACACCCATTGCCTCCTGGTTTTTACTTGAAGAGCATAAAGGATTGCCTTAGAGTATTTAGACAAGGGGCTCCTTTTGCTTGGCAATAAGCCTTCGGCTACAAAATCAGCTCATAACTGAAAAACTATGTCTTGAAAGACTTCATGGACAACCTGAATCCCCTTCCACTTTAAAAACAGGAAATATCACAAACAGTTGAATCTGCCTCGTTCTGTATGAAACTGGTCAAAATACTTCTGGGAACAAATCCTAGAAGTCTTATTTTTAATCTGAAATTTACTCCTACCACCATAGTGTTAATAAAATTAGCAATTGGAAATTCTGTTTAACCTGTAGATACATTTTTAAGGCCCATCTTCTTTGGGGTCATTTGCAGAGCGAACTAGAGGATACCCAGGGGTTGCAGATATACAATGTAGCATACGAAAGCTGACATTTAATCCTTATTCCCACCTCTAATATTCAATCTTTCCTGGAATGAAATTTCTGCAGTGGGTGGTAGATGTCTTTCCCACATGGGGGTGCCGTTAGCATGGTGCTGTCTGAACCTGTGTACTTAGATAAAAGGTTGCCAATGTGTTTTTGTTTCTGGGAGACTTACTTAGTAAAGTTCACACTCCACATAGCTTTCTCCACACTCATATTCCAGTAGAAAGAAGTTATGCTTCCAAAATTTTTAAATATTGCAATTCCATTCCTACTGCTAGAACTCAATCAGGGTTGAAGTTTCTTTAACAGGAAGTTGTTCCCCTCACAGGAAGGGAACAACAAAGGTGGCCCACAACCTGACAGCTTGTTGTCAATCAGAGGGTTTGGTACCAAAGGACAAGAAGCAAGGAGTGAGGGAGGTTTCACACTTCTGAAGCAACACCTCTAAAACCTTCTTTCTAAGGGAGATACAAGAAAATGGTGGCAAAAATAAGGCAAAACTCTTAAAAGCAAAAGTTAGCATTCATCAAAGCAACCCAGTCAATAAGACAAGAATTTCTCTGAATTTCTTCAAAGAAAGGCAAACACACACCACGTTTCCTAGAGCTTCTGGATGCAGGACTGGAAGAAGAAAGGAAAACAGAGTTACTTACTGTTTGGGTCCACGTTTTCACAGAGTTCTGTCTTTGCCTCACCGTTGGGTCTGTCACTAGGTTTGTGTGACAGCCGTGATGACATGGTGGCTGCTGTGACTACTGCCTTGAAGCTTCGCTTCCGTTTCTGGACATTGAGTTCAGGGTGGAAAATGATGATGTACACTTTCGGCATGTATAGCATCCCCAGCGCCACCGATGCACTTAGGTTCATGGAGATTGTGAGCGTGGTGGTTTGTATGTAGAGCTAGGAGACACAACACACAAGGCACTATTACAAATAAAATGACCGCAGAGGGAGTCTAAACACCTAATGCGATGTTAAGAATGCCTATGGCTAGGAGAGAAAATGTAGCAATCCCCAAGGCCTTCTGATTGAAAAAAGAATGACTCTGAACATTCACTGGAGAATTTATGCATGTATTGGTGGACTGAATGCCATGGGGAGGATGTGTGTGCATGCTTGCCCTGGAGAAGTGTTCTACATAGAAGGTCGGGATAGACCTATCAGGTTTGAAGTACCTTTAATCAGAATGGCAGTTGAATAGGAAGACATGAAGATCATAGAAATCTGTAATCTTGAGTAAGCGGTAGTTATTTTTTATCCCCCCTACCTACACAAAATGATGAATACTACAGGATCTCTTGCTACACAGAGACTCTGGCACCTTATTTGAAAAGTCATTATGTTAACATATGTGTCTTTTCATATTGTTCAGGGTTCATCTTCACCATACCTACAAAGTAGTGAGTTGAATTTCCCTGGCAAGTCAGCCCTTCTTGCTTAGTTTGAATTTAAAAAACACCAAGGGCAAGGCACCAAGATCTAGTGATGTTGTCTTGTCCCTGCTCTTTACATGGAGAGGTTACTGACACTGGGCCATTTGTAGTTTGGATGGTGCCATTGCTGTCCTTGTCTCCTTTCACTTCCTTGAGAAATCAGAAGAGTAACCATTCACTTATTACTCAATGTGTTAAATCATTGTGTTGCCTAAATTTGAAAAGGTAAAGGTTGAAGGATGTGGAGAATTGTCATTTCAGCGAGGAGAAAGCTACAGACAACTTGTCTTGGTCCAGTTGCATTTATAAAGTGCTCTGTCATGACCCAGACCCCCACCCCCTCTATACATTTAAGTATATTTGTGTTTTTAAAGATTTTTTTTTATTGGGAAATTGGGGGGATGGGAACAGTGCTGGGGAATTGGGGAAAGGGGAACAGACAAGTTGCTGTCGTTTTGTTCT